AAAACAAGCATTATTCAGAGAATCCAGCCAAGTTAACCTGTCTGCACTAGTTTGGCCAGGGGGATTAGACCTCCCTGCAAGGTCACTGACAGGTGGTTATCTCATCAAATCAGCTCTCAATTAACATTTTTAAAAGGGGATCATAGGGGACCAACAGACACCAATTACGCATTGTTTGCTATAGAGAGGGCGCAAGTAGCTATAGGTAGTACAGTGGGGCTTTAAGGCTTCAGCTCACCCCCCCCCCCACCATCGTACCTCTCCCCTTCCTCACTAAAGAGGAAGAGATAGTGATTCATAATTTCTACATATGACTCAAGTGAACCGCAGGAGATAAGAATCGCCACAGCAACCGTTGTGACCTTTCAGAAAAACCCCTATGCTCCCTTCAATTATTACCACTGCTCTGCATGAGCTGCACCAATTGGAATCATGCTCAGGTGATCTTTAGGAAGAAGAGAAAAGAATTAAAATGTCCTAATGTCTTATGTCACATAATTTTGTAAGCCTTTTTTTAGGAGGGGGGGTTGATTGGATTTTCACTTTGCAATCTTGGAGTGAAGATTTGGAAACAAAGTGAAGGGGTCATCATGTTCACCAATAACATTTTCCTCCTTTTTTCCCCTTTCCCCAATTGACTGTTTCCAATTTTTACCCTTTTCTTGACTTTTTTTATTTTAGGACTGCCCCCATTTCCCATTTTGGCTTCTGTTAGGAATCTTTGGTATTTTAAGTTATATCCGCTCCTCTCTGGCAAAAGTCAAGATTTTAAGATATATTAAAAATAAAATTAGGTCATGTATAAATAAATGTAAATGTATGTGTCTCCCCCTAATTTACAGATTACAATGAATACATAACAGATTGCACACGCAATGGAAAATGAATTTATTTTCAAACAATGAACATACAAAACAAAAAAACAAGGTTCATTTTTAACATCCTTGCATTTTTTTTATGCCTCTTAATTCAACAATTTCCCAATACCCCTTTTCTTGTAAATGCAAATTTTGTATTATATCTTGCCATGGCAACTTTCAAGTGGGGAACTGATTCACCCAAACCACTGCGTGCGTCACAGTGTGGCTGTGTCAGAAACGACTTTGGATGATAATTGATCATTATCTGTTCCAGCATTGACCTATATTGAAGAGAATGATGAAAAATGTGCCTCATGGCCCAATTATAATTAAACAATGTTTTACAAATGATCATTGTTTTCTGTTGAACAATCTTGGTATCAGATATGTATTGTTCTACTTATTCTTCTCAGAAAGGCTGTGATATACCCCTCTCCCTCCCTCTTTCCCTTGTCTGTGCCTTTCGATCTTTCTCTCCTTCTAGTCTTTTCCCCCTCTCTTATTCTCACTTTCTCTCTTGTTCACTCTTTCTCTCTTGTTCACTCTCTGTCTATTGTTCTATTTTCGTTATCTTTTGCCCTCTCTTTCACTCTTTTCCCACGTTTTTCACACTCTCACTTCCTTTCTATCATTCTCTTGGCGTTCCACTCCCCCTCTCACCCCCTCTCTCTCTCTCTCTCCCTCTCTCTCTCTCTCTCTCCCTCCCTTATATTTTGTTCTCTCTATCTATATCTATCTTTCTTCCTCCCCTCCTCTCTAACTTTAATCCTGCTCATGCCAAACACCTCTTTCGCTCTTCTCTCACTTATCTCTGACTCTGACTCTGTCTCTCTTCCCTCACTTTCTCTTTCCCAATCTTCCCCTCCCTCTTTTTCTCTCTCTCTCCCTTTCTCTCTATTTTTCTCCTCCCCTCTCTCCCTTTCATCTCTTTCTCTCTCTCTCTCCCTCTCTCTCTTTCTCACTCTCTTTCTCCCTCTCTCTCTCTCTCTCTCTCTCTCTCCATCACTCTAGCAAATGCTATCTTTGTCTCCTCCCTTCCTGATAAGTCACATTCTAATCCCTCTTGATTCGTGCGTTTCGGAGACAATACTCCGGACCTCCCTGAGTTACCCCCTCTTTATTGATATGTCAGGAATCTTTGGCAAGTATTCCATTAAGACATTCTATTTTAAGGTACTACGCAACATGTTCAAATGCAATTAAGTATTTACACTTCACATAAATGTTTCCTTCAAATGTTTGGAAAAAATGAAATAACAAGCAAAAGAGCTATCTGTAAGTGTGCAGGAATCATACTTCTTTTTGTTTTGTTTTGTTTTGTTTGTGTACACATATTATATGTGTCATTATGAAATGTAATGATATGGAAATGGACATTTACCAATTGCAAGTATTGAGCGATATTTCATTATTTATCATTCTTGGTTACCTGGACATTAAAAAGTGCTCTAGAATGCAAATTTCTCTGCTAATAAACTATAAAACGTAATTTCTTCTGTCTGGTTTGGCATAATTAGAGCATGTACTGCTTGAAAACAAGTCTAGACCTACACTTAGCCTCATTAACAAAGACAGCTTTTAGTACCATTTTTTCTAATTTTCTTGTAAGACGAACATAGGTTACTTTTTGTAGTTCACCTGAAAAAATATTAAGGTGTTGATAGAATCCTAATCACCACAGGAGACTTTGCTGTTATTTGTGAATTATAGATCAGTTCTGGATATTTTGAGGTAAATAACTAACGGCACCGTCTGGGATCGGTTCCACTTAGCGATCGTTGTTTCTTGCCAATGGACTAAAATAGACGCTCTAATCAGGTTTGATGGGCCAGTGTTAGCTCCGTCGTACGCAGCCAGCAAGCGGAGACTCGAGGGGAGAAGGGGATGAATCATCAAAGCAGTTCTTGCTTTGCTTTGCTTTCTAGATCGAGTGCCTGCCTGCTCCTCATAGACAAACAGCTGTCAGACTTCCCTGTGGACAGCCACCGTATACTCTCTCGCTTAGATTCGGGTGTCGCTAAGGAACGGCCTTTCCCTCTTTCAGTCCGGCCTTTCCTGTCCTGGTTTTCAAATCGGGAAAATCTTTGCCTGCCATTTGGTGCTGATTACCAGTGGCCTCATCTCATCAACTAGAGGACTCTTCTGCTGTGGATTTACAAGTGAACGTTTACTGTCCGACTGAAAGTCATGGCTTCTCTGCTGGCCACTAGTTTAACAATTTGAGAGGATCAACTTTTTGCCAACTTGACGAATGATTGAAGGACTATAGCTCCTGTCAGTCTGTCTCGTAGCAAAATTGTGATGTGTCCTTAACAATCTGCACTGCTTCACCTTCTCCGTCATCGTCCTGTGGAAATGGACAAAGCTCTTTGATTAACTTCAATTGTCATTCAATGAACATGTATAGCTGATATAACCTAGCGGTCACACCTGGCAGTTGTGTTCTGCCAAAAACGGAGCCAAACTGGAATTTAAAGGAATATTATTTTTAGGGTCATTTCCTCTATCCATCTGTTGTACGCAATCATACAGAAATTCACTTGGTGTTTTTCTTCTTCCAATTGACAGAGAGGAATAAACTATTTGTGTCTCATGACATAAAGCGGTGCCAAACCCTAAGAATTACTGGAGGAGCATTTGTCAACAACTTCATTATCGCGTTGGTTTTGTTGCTTCTGCCTGCCAGTTTGGACATAAGTTTGGAATAATTCATACATATCGACACTCATCATATGATTGGAATACCATGGCTATACTTCCGGGTGATCTTTCATAGACTTCCACTTGACTTCATTCATTGTTATTAAGAATGCATCAAGTATTTACGTATGGTAACTTACGTGTAACCAGTAAAGGATTTAGTGGTTCAAGGAGAAAAGGGTTTTGGATCTGAACTTGAAAGGAGAATTCGTTTTTGAGGAGTGACTTTATGTATGCAGCTGTGGCCACCATTGGGCTCTGTAGCCCACCGCCTAAACATGTTCATTACCCACCGGCCTTCCGAGGTAATATATATACCTTCTCTTTTGAGCCAGAAGAGTGTTATATCTTTGCGTGAAGTATATGAGTTCAAGCCCCTTTTTCTCAGTGGACGATATATATTACCTTCTTACATGTGGAAAAACACCTATTTATGGATCATAATTTCAACTATTATTCCAGATGGTTCTGATACAATTGCAAATCATCATGGAATTCCATTTTGAGATAATTTGGCACAAAGTAGTTTAGAATTTGATAAGACGGGAAAAATATAAAACTTAAACAAAGTTGAACTTGATGACTAGATTGATTTCTTTGTTCTTGTTTTTGTTGCTAACATTTTTTAAGTATCATATATTACAATTAAAAGTCAATCAACGGTCTTTATTAGATTTGTAGTGATGCATTTGTGATGGAAGCATTAGTTTGATAAGAATTTATTTTCTATCATTCTCACAATTCAAAGATTATTGTGCACATCCAGTATCTAATAGCAATGATGAGTATTTCATTTTGATCATAGCTTCTTGGTTCCAGTAGTTTCTGAGCACTTACAGATTCGTTCACATCCTTTTTATTTAGTAGTGTGGTGAGAGACAAAAGGTCTCTGAAGCTAATTTAGTGCTGATCTAATTAGCGCCTTTCTGTCTTTCAATTAGAAGTAGGTGTGCAACTCCCTACTAACTATAGGAAATAATTTCCTCACACTGCCTCCTCATACTGTTAATTATTTTGAGTGTAATTCCAAGTTCCTGTTCTACTTTTAGGGCTTCCAAGTCTGCAAAGTATTCCTGTCTTGAATGTGTGCTCCATGTTCTCTTAACAATTCCCCGAAAGAATATAATCTTAGTTGTGCTTGTGCATAATTACTACAATGAAACTCCTTGATACTTGTAAGTGCTTTGCAACTTTGTAAGATACAGATGTGTATCGGTTTTGTTCTGGTACAACAGTTTATGTTACCAAGCTGTCGGTGAATCAAATATTGATGGTTGTGGATCGAGAAGGAATGTAAGACTTTCTCATGGATTTTGACTATATATGTCTACACTCTGAGTTTATAGCATGTTGGCCCAACAGTGCATGATGCATGACACCGTAGCTCCTCCCCTCTCTGTCACTAACACCACTACCTTTCTGCCCCCATTGTTTGTCTAGAGCGGAGCTTTGCCATTCGGGAAAAGATGCCAGCTCGTGCACCACCCCCACCCCCTCCCAACACCACCTTCAATACCACAACAACACTGTCACCCCATCTGCCTCCACACTTCATCCCGACAGGCTCCTGCAATGACAGACTGGAGTTTGAGAAGCTCTTCAGCTCCGCCTCCGTGTCTCCGGTCCTGCGGAGACGGATGTGGCAGGCCGCCGCCACCACCGGCAACTTCACCTTCAAGTCACCGCCTCCCCTACCCGTCCGCGGATCCAGCGAGAACAAGCCAAAGGACATGGTGCCCAATCAGGATATCGCCAAAGGACACTTATCGACAACCGAAGACAACCAAGTGCCACCTCCCCTCCCTCCCAGGCAGTCGGTGTTCGACCCTGCAGAAGTGGAGCTGCGGAACAAATTCAACGCAGCAAAGTCTAGCAGTACAGCCAAGAAATATGCCGCGAGCACGAACTCACAGTTGCCAAAGAAAACCAAAAGTCCCTCGCAGTCTTTCTGGAGGAACTTCAAGTCGTCCAAGTCAACCGCTGCCATCAGCAAGGTCTTCCCGTCATCGGCGTCATCCTCCAGCAAGTGTAAGGATCCGCCTCCGCTTCCACCAAGGCAGGCATCGGTCACACCCTGTCCTAGGGCACCTCATAGTGAAGGAGATCTCATTGAAGAGAATGAAGACAAGGAAGAGGAGGTATCAGTAACTAGCAGGACAATTGCAGGTAAGCTAGGAGGCATGTCCTAGAGTCTTGAGCATCATGGTGAGCGAAGCATGCATGGCCGGCCTCCTGTTTAGAGCCAATCCAGGTCAAGCTCGCAAAAGCATGATATGAGATGGAATGGATCATCTGCCTGCAATCAAAATACAAAATGCATCCTGAACAGTCGCATGGGGATAGAGGAGACGTTTGTGTGTGAAAACACTTGTTAAAGTATAAATAAAAGCAAATATATGTCAAAACTTGCCTGTTGTACATGATGCATGTGTTTGCTGTTCATGGCATGAATTTTTAAGTCCTATGAATTTTTAAAAAAGAGGTAAAAATCATGATATATGAACACAATACAAATCATAAATAACCCCTTATTAAAAGAGTAAAGAATCTCCATTATGAGCGTGTTTAGAGTGTCAAATTGAATCCCCTTTTCACATACAGCTATGAAAATGGCTTAAACTACACAAAAAAGCTTTAATGCTATACTAGGGTTTACACGTGACTCAATGTGGGGGGGGGGGGGGGTTACCATTAGACTTCTTGTGGAATCCCTATAGCTAGTATTCAATTTTCCCCATATTTTAATCTGTTTCTAACATGCATGTTGCTGATAAGCAAGATTTGCCTGCTTCACCAAATAATTTTGACATTGTAAGAAAACAAAGAAAGTTTTTTGAAAAAATATTGACAAAATCTGTGCTCCCTGTTTGTCCATAAGTTTCCCAGCATGATCATGCATCGAACCTTGGTTGTATGTATGCCATACGTAAGTGGAGTGTTGGTGGTTGGCAAGAGAGCTCCTCGTCAGCTTGACGTCACTCCAAATGACTTCAATTTCTTTCAAGGGTGCATGATATTGAAGGCTGAAGGATTCTATGTTGGGACCCCATAGACGTGTACCATTTTGATATTAAGTTCAGGGGAATGCGGTTTGTAATATAGTGCCATGCATTTGTAGATTACAGATTGACTTTTACATGAAGGTACAACAAGCAGGATTAGTCATGCAAACAAGATTATGCTGATGACCCAGTAACTTTTTAGAAAGTGTTTAGTGTAGATTTTAATAGTAATTTTGATGCACTTTTCGTAACAGTCAATTCAAAGTGATAAAAAAGAGCAGTTGCATATGTGATCCTGTATAAAGATATTTGTTGAATTGAATTGAATTGAATTAAATTGTTTTATTAAACAATCAACATGACATGCAGCTCAAGGCTGATATTGTTTGTTTTACAAAACAATCATATGTTTACAATATAATAAAGCAGTACCAAAATACAAAAGCAATCTAACAAAAAAGCAATGTCAACATCACACAGCAATATCATAAAAAATTTAGAAAAATGTACGGAATATGCAGATAAACTTCAGAGAGATTAAAAAAAAAGGTTTTGCAGGTTTGACAGCACTCTCAGTCATTTGAATTAAAAAATAGTGAATGAGACTAATATTTGATATACATGTATCATATAGAAAGAGAAACAACATAGTAGACATAGGAGGGTATTATTGTATAACTCAGTCATAGAAGGCTTCCAACTTTTGAAGAATTTCAAATATTCTTTACAAACCCGCTGCAATATTCATTATTTACATCAAATTTGAAAATCACTATACAACATTTTTATCGGTATCCTGGCAAGACGCATGGAAATGTCCCATTTTCAGGATGTCTAAACTGGCACCTGTCCTTTATGTCATGAAGACATTGGAAAACAACTTTCCATCTTTGTTAATTTTTCCCGTTTTAGCGAACACAAACAGAAGAGAAAACTGCTTCAAATTATTATTTTTCAGATGATCTTGCTGTTTATAGTGGTTTAGACCGAATTTCATTTAATAGTCAAAACTTTTGCAAACTGTACCTTGAAAATACCCTCAGTTTAATAAGTGTTTTGATAGCTTAGGGAAAGGTTTGGGGGTCAATTTTAAACAGTGTAAATCTAATTCATGCACAAGGCAAACTGAGAACTATTTTTGTCCCAGCCAATTTGTGATTTTTTGGAATCGAACCAGCAAGATTTTTACTCAAACATGACTTGTCAATTTTGTTTTGTGTACACCAGTACAATTGTGAATATCTGTATGTTTATCTTTGGAGTAGATTTTTATCTTATTTGAAAATAATTTAAAGGAAGATTTTATCACACATTGCATAGGATATGTTTGTTTTTTAGGCTTCACACAATGATTAAGCCCACACCCTTCTCCGATCTTGTATTTGTTTGTTTTTTCTTTTGTTTCCGTCTTTCAATCTAAACCCATGCAGACTTTATTTAGAATTGAAGAAATTGAAGAAATTAATCACATTCATACATTGAGACACAATTGCAAATGTTTCTATACATTGGAGAAAATCCTGACTAAATCATACAAAATAATATATAAGATTGTATGAATAACGCATATCTCTACATTTGTGATTTTAATCTTAAAGCTCTTTATAGCATATCTTGCTGTCCAAAAAATGAAATATGATATGTGATTAATGGGAGGAAAATATATAGCTTTGTGTATATAGCTCTAAGTATTTCAGAAAATTAAGGCTGAGTTCTGATATAGTGTTACAGCAAGATGAATGAATAGGTGAATCAAGATGTTTACTGATAATAATCAAAGAGGCTTTAACATAGATCAACTGAGACTCTCAGTCCATTTAGTCATTTTCTCTAAAATGTCACTAATTAAACCGAAAAGTTGTGTCTTTGGATTTAAATAGTTAAAAAACAAGCCTTAGCATATTTATCCTAGAAGAAACAGTATATTTCGTATCATATTTCTTTAATACCCATTTTGTTGATAATAAACATGGCTGTAGCAACAGTGATATATATATATATATATATATATATATATATATATATATATATATATATATATATATATATATATATCCACTTTAAAGTAAAACATACAGCTTGGATATCTGATCACTTTTTTGAATTGAATTAAATATTAATCATTTCAGTGATGCCCCACCTGAAAAGTTTTATTGTTGTACATATGTTCTGTTGACAGATACCAATGAACCCATGGGTCATTATCCAAATTTAAGATACAGTAACTGGACATTTGGTACAACTGGAAAATGTACCCGATTTCCAAACCGAAAAAGTAAGGGAGCAAATCCTATTATATAAAATGAATATGTTAGGGTATTTCTAATATACAGTCATATATCTGTAATAGCTAGTGGTCACCTCTCTTTAAAGGTCACCTGTCTATAGTGGCCATGCAATTTGTCTCCCTCAAGAAAGAAATGTGTGTTAATTGTAGAACCTGTCTAGAAGGCAACCTGTGTACAGTGGCCACATTTCTGTTACCCTAGGATTTCCTTGATAGACAGGTTTGACTGTACAGTAACTCTTCAATTAAATACTGAATTAGCGATGTCTATAATGGTTTCACTGAGGATTTAAGGAATTAAGATGATAAATCATAATTCTTCATGTCCTTGAATGTCTTCTTAAAGAGTCTTAAACTGTCTTCTTTCTCTGAACAACAGGACATGTTTGATAATCGAGACATGATATGGCTTTATTTTGTCTGACCTTGGTAACATTTTAACATGATATACAAACATACAGTTTAATTGTATGATATTACAAATGTTCTTTTTTATGCTGCCCAAAATGAGGTTTAATATGCATGTTTTCATCTGAAAGCAGTTATGTCTTTCTTTCTTTCTTTCTTTAGTTTCTTCTTTATTTCTGTAAAAGTCTATCAACCGGAATTGTCTAGAGAATGTGTTTTAATCTAATATAAAACACTCTCATAATGTTAGGTTTAAGGAGCCTTAGATATGTTTTTAAAACATATAAGCCTTTTGTGCAATCATTATTAGTGTAAACTTATGTGATAGTAATGAAAAATGTTTTATTTTGCTGACATGACATTACAAGAACATAACTGATTTTAATTGAAAGTATTGTTGCTTCTTCTTCAAAATTATGAAAAATATCTTTTTCCTCTAATGCTTTTTATAATTGAAATACATTTTACATATATACTAATCTACCAGACATACCATGACCATTAGTGATAAAAATATACATCATGTGACTATACAAATGCAAAGTACATGCATCATGTGAGTATGAATAGGAACCGTCTTGCAGTGCTCCCTCCAGAATCTTCAAAGACGATCTAAGTCGATCAAAGCTTTTGGTCTTGTGACCATCCGAGAGGGTTCCTGATATAGCGCTGTGGGGTCAGAGGAAACACATGGGGGAGCGAGATGACACCTGTAATAGGGGTGTAACCGATCCCCTGCACCCACTCATGACAGATTGGTGTGGGGTGAGAGGGTGGCGGGGGGGTGGCGGGGGGGGGGGGGGGGTCATTTTGTTAGGGATATCTGTCTCTCTAAGCTTGGTACCGTAGCTTTATAAGCACAATGGGAGCATTTATAGTTTATTATATGCAGTAGAATATTTGTTTATAATGCAAAGTCAATCACTCTGGTGACAAGCTAGATAACTTATTCACCATAATAAATCGTTTTGAAGAGACACACACCTTATAGCAATTTCAGAATGCTTTGATCGTATGTTTTCCAAATTACCTATTCATTCAATGTGTTTTCAAAATAACCCCTTCATTTGGTACCTCAACACATTTCATATTATCAGTAACATAATTAGTTTACCTTCCTCTATTACTGTATCAATATATCTCTATATTATTTCTAACCCTTTTCCCTCACAAATAAATTCTATATCTCTGTCTATCTGCCTCTCTTTTCCTCTTTGCTATTTATGTCTCTCTCACACTCTCTCTCTCTCTCATTGCTGTTTATCTCTCTCCCTATAGTATACTCTCTTTCCAACACTATCTCTCTTCCTCTTTCCCAATCTCTATTAGCTCTCTTCCTCTTTCCATCTCTCTGTTATTTTTCTTTCCCTCTCTTTATCTCTTTTCCCAATTATCTTTCTCTTTCTCTCCCCTCTCTTTTTCTTTCTTTCTCTCTCTCTCTCTCTCTCTCTCTCCCTCTCTTTCTCCCT